ACATGGCGGGATTCTTCTTCTTCTTCTTCTTCTTCTTCTTCTTCTTCTTCTCTCTCTCTCTCTCTCTCTCTCTCTCTCTCTCTCTCTCTTCTCTGAACGATGCTGACATGTTGGACTTGTGTGAACAACCTTTCCTGTCGCTCCAAACGATAAACCCCGCTGGTTTTGCAAATTCCCAACGTGGCCATTGAAAACAGCTTTTCTCTGAGGCGGGCACAAACAGGGACGGCAGTTGGACCAGTTGGCAGCTGCCCGCTGCTCCCTCTCCTCCTTGCCCACCCAACCCTGCCCGGGGAATGGGTTCCGGGAAGAACAGACTGGCTTTCTGCCCCTTCAAGTCTGCCTTGTGTTGGGCTCTCAAGCGACCAACCAAAGCCGAACCCACTGCCATCAAGTTGATGCCGTCTCATCACGACCCAGCAGCACATGGTAGAACTGACCCTGAAGTTTCCGATGTGCTAACTATTTATGAGAATTAGAAAGCCCAGTCTTTTTCCCTTGGAGTGGCTGGTGGTTTCGAACAGCTGGCCTGGCATGGCTCCTGCATGTCGAGTGAAGCTGCTTAGAAATAGCCTTCCTGCCCCCAAGAGGGATGGATCAGAGCTATGTTCCATGGGACTGGGATGCTGGGAACTTGCCTTGCATCATGGGACACCACCTTCCTTCAGGGAAATGAGGGATGCTACTCAACAGCGAGGTCCAGTGCTTGGTTATTTGGGCACAGACACGTCTTTGTGTGGGTGGGCAGGGGCCATTTATGAGTCCGCTTTCCCAGTGTAATTCCAACAGCTGGTTATACTTCTCACTCCCCGAGTTCCGTGTTCTGCGATGTTTCCCCCCTTACTCTTTTGACTGCAAAGAATTTAAGTGAGGATGGGCTGACAGAAGACCCGAGTGAGACAAACGTGGGCTCTGCAGCCTCAGAAGGTCCTTGCCAAATGACCTCACTGCTGTTTCACACTGGACATCCACCAGAACAGAAGGCCAAGTCTGGCACGCAGCTTTTTTTAAATTTTCCTTTTTGTGAAATAAGGTTTAACGGAAACACAGTCCCTCCTGTTTGTGTCTATATCTGCGTTCAAGCCACAGTGGCTGAGTGGTGAGGGTAGAGACCGTGTGAACCACAGGCTTGGTTCCTTATAGAAAAAGACTGCCCACCTTTGCTCTAGGGGCAAGTTTCTATCTGTCCATCGGTAGAGAAGAAACACTCATTTTCATATAGACCGAGGGCAGATGATCTTGTAACCTGGGCAGTGGATTGGAGCACACTGTGAGGGTCTTGCACACAGTAGGTGCCTGTGGGATGAATAGCCAGGTGGCTCAGTTGAGTGGTCTATGATTGGGGCTCTGGCTCTGCGTTTAGCCCATCCAGGTGTCCGATCTGATTTCTGAGGTCCCTTCTAGAATACTGCCATGCTGCCCAGCATCCGACAGAGAGGTGGCGAGGCAAAGAGAAACACCCTTGGTGCCTCTAGTGTCCCGTCTGTCAAAGTGACGGCCCAACCTCCCCAGTTGTCCACAGTCGGATTCATTGAGCATCAGGTAGAATGAGTAGGCAGGTACCAGGAGCATAACCAGGTGTTGTCACCTTGCTATCAAGTGTCTCACCTGGAGAGGGCCGGACTAGGGAGCGAAGAGTTGAGAAGGGGACCATCTTGCTTTCTGCCTGTTGGGAGCTGGCGGTCAGGGATGAGTGGGAAGGAGGTGCTGTTTACTCTTTGTGCTCCGCAGCTCCACAGTGTGTGGGCGTCATGTCGGCATGGTCCAGATGTGCCGGCTAGGATTAAGAGCACCAGGTAAACAAACATCTCCTTGGAAGTGTTTGCGTCCTTCCTCCAGGTTCCTTAACTCGCTCAGTGCGCCACTATCCTAGGGGGAAATCATACTTCCCCTCGATTTCAAAACCACCCTGCAGGGAGGTGGGCAGTGGGGGATTGGTACTTGGCAGGGCTGGGCCAAAGGGTTTGATGGCCTTTACCTGGCTAAGCCCAGAGGAGACAGACGAGTCGCGTTCCCGTGGCAGACAGGAGTTTGCTCCGGGGTGTGAGTTAGCTTGCAGATTTCAGCTTCAAAATGTACGCTGTGTCCCCTGAAGAACTGGAGTTCCCACTGCCCCGTGTCCACACAGCCCCACAGAGGTGACCAGGGCTTTATCATTTATTAATTCAGCTGTTTGGGAGGGTGACACGCATGCCTCTGCAGAGCTGTGAGCAAAGCCCCAGCCTCCGCACTTGACTCCCGGCTGTGCGAGGGTTTCCCTGGCAGGCACTCAGCGCTGGGCTTCAGACAGCAGCCCTCCGGCCTCCTTTCCCTGGTAAGTGAATGACCCAGGGGGCGGGATGGCTGAGCAGTGGGCAGGAGGACAGTGTGTGGACCCTGGGCTGAGGAGGGGAAAGCCCACCCAGGCGTGAGCTCTTGGCTTCCACGTGCAGGACCCAGGCCTCTGTTCCTCCCCCGTTTTAGAAGAGAAGGGCTGCAGAAACAGGATGGATCTTGAATTGTCAGGGTGCAATCCTGTGGTCTTCTGACAGACGCTGCTGGGGTCTTGGAGGTCCACAGATGGAGGGTGTGCTGTAGAAACAGGCTGTGCCTTGTCCTCTTGATCCCGGCCTATCTTTGCTTCATTCTAGATGTGTGTGTGTGTGTGTGTGTGTGTGTGTGTGTGTGTGTGTCAGAGAGTTCCTGATGCTCTTTTGGAACTTTTCAAAGCCACCAGTCATGGGCTGGAGGATGCAGGAGAATCACTTTCCACTCTGAAGTTTGGCTCATGTTACCTTGAGCCCAATGAGCGCTTTCGGGTGAGTTTTCCTGCACCTCGGGATTCAGACCGGTTGTGAGTATTGCTCTGTTTTGACGAGTCAGTGGACAGATTATACATGTATGACTCGATAGCTTCCCTGCCCACACACATGTTTATATACACCAGCGACGTGCATCTCCATGTATCCAGTTTATTTTTCAGAGCATCTTTGTGTCACAGATGGATGAGATGCCCCTATTCATCTGGTTCGAGTTTATTTGAATGCTTGCTCTAAAGGAGCCGCTATTTGAGTGTTTGGGCTGCTTCCTCCTGAGGGGCTGACACAACTCCAGGGACAGTCAGGGCAAAGTCTTCCAGAAGTTTCTTTTTGTTTAGAGAGGGGCTATTCCTCTCGCCTGGGGAGGGAGATGCTAGTATTTGTTTTCATGGAAACGGGGCACAATTTCAAATGCCACCCCGCTCTTTCCTTTTCAGCTTGCTTGATTTGTCAGTGTGGATCCTGGTATGGAGAACCTCAGGGCACTTCTGATTTCCTTGTTTCGCAACTCCTCGGGAACACACAAAGGGGCCGGTAATAAAGGAAAACTCTTTTCAGGATAAAACACGATTCATAAAGGTGGCAGCCGTGCCATATGTCAGCCGTGATGAACAGCTGCAGAGTCGGCAAACGGGTTTTTAAAAATAAAGTGATAAAGCAGATTTTCCCATTATTTTGTGTTTCGGTGCCTGCTCAAGTGCATCGCCCTGATTTTTGTAGGCTCCGTTTTCTTCGGTGGCAATTGAATTGCTCTTCATGTCCCAGGGCTGCTGTCTGGGAGCCCGCTGGGAAGATTTCACAACCCCCGGTGCTCCCTCCAGCACGATTTTAAGTTCCCAGACCAGGCTACGGTAGAGTCAAACCCTCGCCTCGTCCACATGTGCGCATTTCCTTCCCCTGGGCTGAGCCTGGCTGGGCAGAAGCGAGAGCATTTCCAAGGCTGGCTCATTTGGAGTTCGTTTACTTTAATTTAGAGAGCTGTGATGGTGGTGAGAATGTGCTTAATGAAGTGTCACCGTTTAAATGGCCTTCTCCTGCCGTCAGCAGCAGGCTGGGGCTGCAAGGCTGGTGGTGGGCAGAGGCAGGCAGACAGACAGACACAACCCGGAGAGGAGGGACGAAAGGGGGAAGAAAGATCCTCTTTGTAAAAGTTAGCATCGGCTTGGCAAAATAGGTTAACTCGAGAAAAGTGGATTTCCATGAAACCCAGTCGTCGTTGGCAAATGACGGATACCCAATTCCTGATTGATAAACCCCTTCAAAAGCTTCCCCTGCCCTCAGGGCCTAGAGAGAATGGTGCTTTTAATATTGCTGGGGTCACAATTCCCCGGGAGAAGCTGGTGGAAACTATGAACAATGAACGCACTCACCAGTGTGCAAACACCACTTCCGATTTCAGGGCTCTGTGGACCTCACTGAGCCCAGAGCCGTCTTTCTCCCCCATGAAGAGCCCCTTCCTGAACATTTTTTAACTGGATGTACTTACTCTCTGTCGCAAACTTCTTTTGGAAAAACAAGGTATGTTGACATTCACCCCGTTGTGGCTTTCCCCCATCGAGGCAAAGAGGCTCGTGGGGCTGGGGACACTTTGGGAGGCACCAGAGCCGTCGGGACTCTTACAGGACCACCACAGAGCTGTGCATTTGCCAAGCGTTCCATGTGCCATCTTCCTGCGGTGTCTGGGACACACTCTTCGAGGTGAATGGCTTGTCCTCAGGGGCGGGTGGAGGTGAGGAGGAAGGATTAGGGTCACGCCCCAGGGGGTTGGCAGTGAGGGAGGTGTGACTGTGTGTGCCAGTGAGCATCCTCAAAGACACTTGCCCCACCCCCCTTCCCCCGCTGCCCCCTGAGGCCTCTGAGCCCAGATTCCCCGATGGGCTGCCCAGGAAGCTGATGGACTGAGCTCATCATGTGACACGTTGGCACAAATAAGAGAAGACCTCTCATTGCCACGCCTGGTGGGGAGCCAGTGGTGCCCCAGGCTTTTGCCCAGATGTCCTCCAGCGCTCCAAGCCCTGAGCCATGACACACTGTCTTCCCGGGGCTGACTTCCTAGGACCCGCGGGACCCTATGCACAGGACATGGTGGGCGCTGATCAGTGAGGCCCGTACCTGCATTGGAAGTGGTCCGCACAGCTGCATGCAGGTGCATCAGCAAGTCTGGAACTGGGACCTGTAGGCACTTCGGGATACGTTGGAAACAGAGACACAGCAAGGATCAACATGGAAGACCCCGAAGCACAAGGGTAGGACTTGCCCCCACCCCACCCCCGTTCCCTCATTTTCCTTGTTTCTTTTTAATCGTTTCATTAGGGGCTCATACAGCTCTTATCACAATCCATACACACATCAATTGTGTAAAGCATATTCATTGCCCTCATCATTCTCAAAACATTTGCTCTCCACCTAATCCCCTGGCATCAGCTCCTCATTTTTTCCTCTCCCTCCCCGCTTCCCCTCTTATGTTTATTTTCTCCCCCTTCCTTCTTTCTACGTTGCCTCCAATTCTTCCCCCCATCAATCCTTCCTTTATTCTTTCCTTCCTCCATCCACCCACCCCTCCACCCTCTCTTCCCTTCTCTCCCGCTTTATCCTTTCCTTCCATTTTTCTTTCCTTTGCTCGCATCCACTCTCCCTTCCCATCCACCCTTTCTCAATTCACCGGGCACTCTTGACTCCCCTTTCTTCACAACATGCTAGCGAGACACATATTTTTGTCCTGAGTTACCTTCCAGCTCCTACCTCCTCCTGTGCTTGTCTTTTTTTATCATGGAATCAATTAGCATATGCTGAATGCTTATTGAAGGGCAGGCGACTGTCTGAGAGACAGAGTTAAAATCATAATGGACTTTACCCCCAGGAAGGTTCAAAGGAAATCGAAGATCATGTTCTCAGCGTCTGGAGAGCCATTCTTTGATAGCACGACAGTTACCTGAAGCGGCAACATGGAAATGTGAGGTTGTGTAAGACAGTGTGGGCACTGAAGCGGGCTGAGTGGGCTGAGAAACTGGACTTCAGTTCAGAGAAAGGGGCAGTTTTTGTGGGGTGGATGGGTTTAGGGAAGTGTTGACAAGGAGCAATGTCAACCGGGTCTCCAAGTAGGAATTTAATGCTCAGAGGAGAGAGAAAATTGCATTCCGGGATGATTGATAGCAGTCAAAGCTCAGTGGTATAGTCTTTTCCTAAGAGGAAGTTCCACGGGGAACTGGGTTTCCTCTTTTTGGGCTCCCTAGTTGTCTCCTTCCCTCCTGGGCTTTGCTGTCTTCTCTCCCATTTCTCTCCCCCCCAACCCCCCACCCGCTGCATACCCCCTCCCTGCAATCACCATTTCTCCTCAGCTCAGAGGAGTTTGGGGGAATCATCTGGTTCTCAGATCCTGTGTCTATCAGTAGAATAACCATTCCATATTGTGGGGGACATGCCGTGGAGGGCCAAACTGAAGGGCATGTGTCAGAGCCTAACTCTCTACTCAGTGGTTCAAATGCCAACCTTTACATGTGGTCAGATCTTGGGTGGACAAAGCACCAAGCCCAGGCTAATGATTGTGGCACCCAGGAGAGCTTGGAGAAACTGGAAGTCGAGGATTTGGGTTGGGAGTTTACACCTTTGTCTTGTTTGGTCTGCTTTTCTTGCTCATGGAAGTGCACATAGTCTCCGATGTTTCTGTAGATGTGTGGGATAAACGGGAGTACTCTATCGGTGAATCCCAATCCTCCATAACATACCTCATGAGCCTGGTTCCTAGTCTGATGCCTGGGTCTTTTAGAAAGTGCCTGGTCGGTCCGTTGTCTAAGCAGCCTACCGGTGGACGCTGAAGAGTCTAAATTCATTCCCTCTGAGGCTGGCACTGCTCTGTCAAATTCCGTCTGATCGCTTCTGGTGGCTTAGTCTCCTCGGCAACAGTGCTTGGGAGATACAGGGTCGCTGAGAGTCTCCTCTGCTAGTGGCCTTGTGAATTTTACCTTAAGTCAAGGAGACAGTTCTTTCACCCAGCATTGGCTAGCTGCTCAGGACGCAAATTGTATTGATACATGATGACTGATGATTGAAAACTTCACTCAATGGCACCACATGAGAGGGCTTCAGACAAATGAATTCCATGACATTTTCATTTTTCCACGAACATTTTGGAGCCTCTCAGCTTATATCGTGTGTGTGTGTGTGTGTGTGTGTGTGTGTGTGTGTGTGTTAGAATAACGGCTCCTTTTCCATCCAGAAACAGTGTGATAGGTTATTTGACCTTCTTTCCCGTCTTTTACTGGGTAAAACTGGATGTAAGGGTTACCTTGTATCAGAAAAGACAGGGAAGTCATTCCTGGTGGCAAATGCTGGCTTCACTGTAAGCTGCCCTGGAATTGTCTTATTCAAAAGCAATCTTGAGATCCTTCTAACTCAACCCCCTAGGTTATATCGAAGGGAATCTCGACCTGCAGAGACACATGCTTGCAGCCAAAAGGATGCAGCAGTTTAAAGGCAAACCAGGGTTTGAGGACCAGTACTCTGACTCCCCGAAATAATTAGATGTAGAAATTCAAAGCACCCCTTTCTCAAAATAATTTAGCAAAAGAATGATGGAATAATACATTAGTTATTAGATTCATGAGTAAATGAAATGGTTCTGCGTTACATTGCCTTTAAAAAACGGACAAAGCAAACCCTGCCACTGATTGTCTGTTTTTAAATACAAGGTGAAGCAGACCTAGTCCATTTACTCTGTTGACTCACAGCACCCCACCCTCCCTGTGGGTTTCCGAGACTGGAACTCTTTATAGGAGTAGAAAGCCCGGTCTTTCCCTCGGGGAGCTGCTGATGGCTTCAAACTGCTGACCATGCAGATCACAGCCCAGCGTGTAGCCACTAAACCACCAGGGCTCCTTACATTTTATTAGGAGCTTGATTTAACAGAATTTTAGGGGCTAAAAATAAAACCATGAGATAAAAAATTGTTTTTGAGGACCATCCCGATTGTAGTTGTGAACCAGCAAGTTGACCCCAACTCTCCGTTGCCGTCCGTGCAGGTCTGAGTAGAATGCCCAGTGTTTTCTAGGCTGTCATCCTGAGGGGAGCAGTTGCCTGGGTGTTTCCCCCTGAGAAACAGCTGGGCAGTTTAACCTCCCAACTTCTGGCTAGCAGTCGAGCACTTCAACATTGGACCACTCAGGTTATTTGTTTCCCCCCAAGATAGATCATATATATATATAAAACAGGGTCTGCTTGAAAGTTATTTTCCGTTTTCAAAAAACAGTCAGATATTTTGCCAACACTGTTCTCATAGCATGATAGACCGTAATGACTCTGGAGACATAGCAAGGGGCTTCGTGGAAACTTCCATGATCTTTTCTTTCATCTTCCATGAACATATTGAAGTCTCTTTATTTAAAACTAAGATCATTAAAAGCAATCCAACAGCTCAAAAACTATTAAAGAACTGTTTTGTGAGAGACAGAAGCCAGGAGCACAATGTATTAGGTATTTTAAAAGACAACGGAAGTATAATCTCACCATAATACCTTAGAATGTAATCAAATCAGCAATTAGACTAAATTTCTTACTCCTCCCTGGCAATGTGAGAAGAGAGAGATTAAATAGTTTCTGAATTAAAACAAAAAAGCATTTTAAAGGAAGAAAGACAAAAGAAATAGAAGTGGAATAACATTAAAAATGGGGGAAAGAAAGAAAAATCAGATATTTTAATGAACAAAACCTTAATTCTGAGTCCAGGTTGTTAGTGCCTTATCTCTGTAGACTTCCCTCAGCTGCCCTGTAGGCCAAGGCCCCCACCTCTGGGGAGTTCTGAAGGCTTGATGCCTGCACTCCCAGAAACAAGGTCCAGGGTAGATGGAAAAATTTGGTAGGGGAAGGGATGGCCTGGGGCCATTTGCTTTTCCCTGAGGGAGAGAAAGTAGTGAGGGAGTATTCAGAGAAAGCATGGATCCCAGCCTCCCAGCCGGAGGATTTAGAATAAGGGTTTACTGCAGACTTGCCTCTTGGGGTTCTTCCGATAGTAGCCATAGCTCTTAGAGCCCAGAGCCCCTTTGGGGATCCCTCAAGATGGTACCCCATTCTTCACCTGAGGAGAGAGTGGTACAGGATGCGTTGATTGGCGGTTATGTTAGGCACAACCTACCTTTGCTTCAACTAAGACCTTCGCTTTTGGTTCTCACCCCTCAGAGATACAATTGATGTCAACCCCATACCTTTACTGACAACCTAGGCTGGTCCCATGAGAGGAGGCAGGGCAGCTTCCAAATTAAGAGTGCAGTCTCTGGAGCTGGGGTGCCTGGGTTCAAGCCTGGGCTCCTCCGCTCCCACCCAGGTGCTCTTAAGACAAGGGAACGCAATCTCCCCATCGCAGCTCCATTATTTGTCAATCTGGACCAATATTAAGGACAGTTCCCAACTCGTATATCATGTGACTCATTAAGTGAGAAGAGTCTTAAAGCATCTTTCAAGTGTACAACAGGAAAAAAAAAAGTTCTTTAACTATTTGCAATCATTATTATTTTAACCTAGGGACACTGGGCAAAGAGGTAATCATATCTGGAGGAATGGAGGTTTAAACTGAGAAATATTTCTCAAATTGTGAAGAGGGAGTTGGCCTGTGTATTCTAGCAAAGGATCAGCTATGAGGTCAGAGGATGCGTCACTGGTGCCCCCCCCCTGTCTCCCCACCCCCCTTGCCTGCCCCTGCACATCATTGGTTTGGCAAGAATGGAACCGAGGTTTCCTGATTCCCCAGGAAGGAAAAATATCTAGCCAATTGACTTTCCCTTTTTAAAAATTAAATTTCTTTTAGATCCTAATCACTGACAAATTCTATGTGGGTTTCATTTGACTTTTAAAAACAGTTTCTGTATATTCAGGAACAAATGCAGGTAGCAAAACAAGTCATTGTTTAAAGAAGCAGAGCGGATGTGAATTCTCACATGGCTACTGTGACCCAGGCTCTCTTTTGGGTGCGGGTGTCTAAGCTGCTTTCAGTTGACCCCCAACGATTCAGAGCAAACCCATGCACCAGGGACCCCAACGCTGATGTGAGCCCTGCCCCATCTTCGCCTGATTCCCATGACCGGCTGCAAACCAGACTCTGGTCATGATAGTATTTTTTGTTGACTAATGGTCGCAAGTATGATGCCAAGCTTTTCTCCTCAGTTTGAGTCTGGAAGCTCTGCTGAGACCCGTTGATCATCAAAGCATGGTGCAAGTCTCCACAACTTTCACTGGTCATACATTGAACCCGAGGCTC